TGGAGTAGAAATGAGTAATTTACAGTAGAAAGTGTGGTGATTCATGCCTAGAAGAAATCTATGTATATTTACAGTGAATGAAAATGTGAAGTATTTACTCTTATCTATTTGAGTGAGAAGCATGACAATTATTTGATTGTTGGATTAAGAAGAATGATCATTATTTGCCAAAGTTGCTTGATTAGCATGCCTAAGGTTCCATCGTGAATTGTTGAGAAGTTTTGCCAAGAAAATGAGATTGTAGCATGTACAGAGCTTGATTTCTATTTACTGTGAATAAGTTCATGAAGTACATTTCGAGTTTAAAGAGCATGATCAATATTTGCTAAGTGTTTTCTAAGAAGATTATTGAGAATTAAATTATAAGCATGAGTTTATACATTGTTTACTTGACTTATAGTCAAAGGGAATTTGAGATATTCTTTATAGTAAAAGAGCACGTTTAGTATATCATGAACTAAGTGCATTAGCAGCTTTAAGTAAGCCTAAGTATTCTTTCAAAAACCTATATATATTTTGGAAAATCATTATTTAGTTGCATTGAGAAGTTGCATGATATTTGATTTTCAATTTGTAAGAAAAGAAAAGTTGTTGAGAAGCTATGTGCATAAGTTTGCATAAGTAAAGTTGTTGCATGAGTATGAAATGCATGAGTTATATCTATATGTACCTAGTGTGAGTAATGTGAGGTTTTGGAAGCCCGTTAAGACTATGTACTTTCGGAAGAAAAGAGAAAGTAAAGAAAGAAACGGACATTGAGATCCGATGTGAAGTAACGAGGTCGATATTTCCAAGTTACTAGGTATGATACTACCCGCCGGGCTTGGAATCCCGGTCAGGGGGTGTGCACACTGACAAGTTCGATACCTGATTCCACAGAGTTTGAGAAAAGAACCAAGAGAGTGGTTCTGTGGGCGAGATAAGTATTAGGCCGGCTAGATGCCAAACCCAGATAGGTGTATTCACATTATGGTGAAGTTCCTACCTCACCCATGAGTAAAAGTAAAGAGAGAAAGCGAGTCAATGTGACTCTAAAGAAAGAAAGAAAGCGAGTCAATGTGACTCTAGAGAAAGAAGAGAAAAGTGAGTCATTGTGACTCTAAGAAACCTCCGTCGAACAAGTGTTCCTTATTACCAAAGGAAGAGTGTATATGTATATCTATCTATACTTATACAATAGCATCATGTTCATCTTTTGCATGACTAAATGATTTGCACGTGTTGCATGAAAGTAAGATAAGAAGCATGGCATTATATTGTCTTTCATTGAGTTATATGATAACATGAGATTGCTTATTGAGTTATATGATAGTATGAGATTGCTTATTGATTATATGATAGCATGAGATTGCTTATTGAGTTATATGATAGCATGAGATTGCCTATTGAGTTATATGATAGCATGAGATTGCCTATTGAGTTATATGATAGCATGAGATTACTTATTGAGATTATATGATAGCATGAGACTGCTTATTGAGTTATATGATAGCATGAGATTGCTTATTGAGATATATGATGATATGAGATTGTTGTTGAGATATATGTTAACATGAGATTGCTTGTTACAGCTTAAGTATATTATTAACCATCAGTTTGAGCATGATTAGTGTATATCGCCATGATAAGATATGTATGTGAAAGTATGAGATTGTTGATAAGCTAAATTATTGAGAAAGTATGCCTATTTGATAATCAGGTTGCAAGCATATAGAAATCATGTTGAGCATATTTAGATGTTGCTTAAGTGATCGAGAATACTTGATCTAAGTGTGTGAAACCAATGTTTTCCAAAAGTATATATATATTGTAGTATTTTACAGGGTTGAGTGGTGTTACACTTAGCTTCGTGTTAACGGGTTGCTTTCTACTTGTTTGTTTGTTAACCCCTTTCAGGTGGGGCCCAGTTTTTGAGAGCGACCGAGTTAGACTAGATTAGCTTAGTGTGCTAGTTGTAGTCTAAACTCTTACTTCAGTTATGTTTATTTTGAGACTTGGTTGTAGACTTATCTAGTTGTTTTTATGGTGCTGGACATCGGGGTTTCATTCCCCAAGTTTGTTTTAAGTAGTAAGTTTGTTGATGTTTAGATCCTTTCTTTGCCTGTGCAATCACTGTGTATGGTGATTATGGCGGTGACACCTCTTAATGATGACTAGTAGACTTATTATGTTTGTTTAGTATTCCTTTCTTAGTTAAGTAATTGTTAATAAGGTTTAAGAAAAGTGGGGTGTTACACGCACGTACCGAGGGTACTGTCATGCCAACTCATGAAATGCCAAGGGAAACCCCTCCCCCACCCCACTGCTTGCTACTCAGGTCACCCTGACTCTCATGGAGTTGTTGGCCCACGCCTTCGATGCGTACGCGCGTGGGGCGGGTCAAGCAGCAAACATCACCCAGCCTCGACCTGCGTAGTCAGTCCCTCTGGATCAGGGCGGTCATGTCGATTCATTAGCTTCGGAGCACTTAGTGCGCTTGAAAGGACGTTCATTGGGTTATCCCCGATCGGCACGTTTCGTACATTTACTATTGGGCCTAGCGGCTCCCGCCCAGTTAGTGATGGATCGATTGGGCGGTCAAGCCAGACACCGCTCACCCAACCGTCAGGCCGGGCAGGTTGGGGAGCGATCTGAGGGAGAGCCATTGTGAGCAGTCATTCAGAGGGGGATAGCCTCTCGGCGACGACGGGAAGCCGATGAGGCAAACGAGGTAGAAAGTAGTGGAGAGTTGCCGACTAGACAAGGGCAGTCCGCACTTGGCATATCAAACCGTGCAGCCAAAATCAAAAACCTACGATAGAAGATAGAATAGAAGGATTAATCGGCCACCAAGACGTTGCTGACCACCTCGCGTTCTCGGCACAAGTTCTGGCTTACAAGGCCCCGACTGGATTTAAGTTGCCCGAGTATTCCAACTTTCAATGGATCCGGGGATCCACGTGATCATGTAATCAGCTTCCACGCCAAGATGCAGGTGGTTGGGGCTAAGGACCCCATGATATGCCAGGCATTCTTCCCCACTTTGGTTGGTGTTGTGTAGCGCTGGTTCTTAACTTTATCTCTAGGGTTAGTTACCAGCTTTGAAGAACCGGCAGACCGGTTATTGACACACTTTGCCAGAAGCATGAAGCCCAAAAAATACATTATGGACCGGTGCCGAGTGCATCAGGAAGAGGGAGAGAGCCCGCGAATGTACATAGCGCGATGGCAAAAGGAAGCTCAGGCATTCGAGGGGTTGGATGATAAGACTGCTCTAACGTTCTTCATTGAGTAGTCATGTAGAAAAGAAAACAGGGTTCTTTACAGATTAATACGATCGCCCATAAAGTTGCCGAGCGAGCAGTTAAGCACCCTCGCCGGCAGTCGAGTTGGAAGAGATCATCTTGGATCTTGACTGCTCAGAAAGAAAAGTTAAGATTGGAGTCGTCTTGGATGAACCCGTTAAGAAAGCAGTAATCCTGGTGTTGTGGAACTACAAGGAGATATTTGCTTGGGGACCTAAGGACATGCCCGAGGTTGACCGTTCGATCATCACTCACCTACTAGCTGTTGATACTGGCCTTAAGCCCGTTGTTCAAAAGAGGCGCTGATGAGGTACTTGTCTAATGATCAGAGGGATTTTGTGAAAAAAGTAGGTACATACTCGATTGGCCACTGGCCACATGAAGTACCCATGTTGGCTGGCCAACATGTTTTTGGTGCATAAGCCACCGGCATGGAGAATGTGTGTGGACTACACGAACCTTATCAAAGCCTGCCCTAAGGATCCATTTCCTCTACTAAGGATTAACCAGTTGGTTGATAACACGGCCGGGTGCGCCCTACCAAGTTTCATAGATGCCTTCCGCGAATACCATTAGATATTCATGCACGAGGCAGATGAGGAGAAGACTGCCTTCATCACTCCCAATGGGGTATATTGTTACAAGGTTATGCCTTTCGACCTTAAGAATGCAGGAGCCACTTATACGCGAATGGTCGCCCGACTGTTCAAGAATTTGATCGGCAAATCCATGGCTGCCCATGGCTGCCTATGTTCAGGAGATCTTGGAAATTTAGCTTCCCAGTAATCTTAAAGAAATGCAGCGCCTTACTAGACGAATGACCGCTCTTAGCCAGTTCTTGTCTAAGTCTGCTGACCGCGCCTTATCCATCTTCAAGCTATGAAGAAGCAGGAAGGTTTTTGGTGGACTGGGAATGTTAGGTTGCTTTTGAGGATTTGAAAAGGTACCTTCTGGCCCCTCCATTATTGTCTAAACCCAAGGAAGGAGAATTCTTGTTTCTGTATCTAGTCTCTTCTCAGAACGTAGTCGATTCAGTGTTGGTTCGTGAGGAGAACAGCGTACAACTTCATGTATATTATGTTGGGCGGACATTGAAGGGAGCGTAGATCAATTACTCACCACTAAAGAAGGTAGCCGTCACTTTACTCACCACGGTCCGGAAGTTGGTCCCCTACTTCCAAGCTAATCAGGTTAGGGTTATGAACAACTTGCCACTGGCAAGAATCTTGCGCAGCCCATCTTCGTCCGATTGACTGCTCAAGTGGGCGATGGAACTCACTCGGTACATGATAGAATATGCACCTTGATCGTCTATCAAAGCTTAGGTTTTTATTCATAGTCGAATGCTCTGCGCAGTAGGGTGATCCTCAGCTGGTTGATGTTTCAAATGAGGCTGAGTGGTGGAATATACACACTGATGGGGCGACTAGCAGTCGGCTGCGGAGGTGATGTGATGTTACCACGCCCGGGGGATTCCACTTGTATTATGCCTTGCAGTATCAGTTCCGAACTTCAAATAAGGAGGCAGAATACGAAGAGGTCATAGGCGGACTCCGTCTGGTCGAGGCACTCCAAGCCACTCGAATGCGGATCAAGACCGACTCCCATCTGGTGGTCAGTCAGCTTAAGGCAGAGAGCGAACCAAGGAAGAAAGGTTGAAGTTATACAAAGATGTGACTAAGGGACTATTGGGTAGAATGACTGCCTTTGAAATCATCCATGTGCCCCAAACAGAGAACGCCAAAGCAGACATCCTATCGAAGTTAGCATTGGGAGGCATGCCCAGCTACCTCGTGATTGCTTGCCAGATAGAGATCGTGGAAAGGCCGAGTACTGAAGCATTGTTGCTCTGCGCGGTCACTCCGATGCCTACCCCCATTTCTGATCCTAAAACTCAACCTGATAATAAAGAGGATGCCGACCACGTAAAGAAGAGAACATTGTCCTACGAGATAGTAGATAGTCAGTTATACAAATGATCTTTTGGTGCGCCATTGTTGCCCTGCCTGCTTCCTGATGAGGCCAAGATCGTTGTGATGGAGGCTCATCGAGGGATTTGTATAGCTCACCGAGGGACTAACACGTTGGCCCGGAAGCCTGTTATCCAGGGGTATTATTGGCTGACTATGGTGAAAAACTGCATGGAAGAAGTAATGAAATGCCCTACTAGTCAGTCATTCGCCAAGCGGGATACCCAACTTTCCACTTTCTACACTTTGGTCACTACAGCGATTCTCTTTGCGAAGTGGGGAGTTGATTTGCTGGGGACGCTCCTGTAGGCGCCCGAAAGAGTGCGATTTTGTATTGCGAAGTGGGCGGAGGCCGAACTCTTGGTTACCATCACACAATATCAATGTCAACAATTCATATGGACAAACATCATCTGCAGGTTCGGACTGCCTAAGCAGTTGGTCACTGACAATGGCTGGTAGTTTGACAACCGGGCATTCACAGCGTTTTGTGTTCAGCATGGGATTCGACACATAAAAGTGTTCATAGCCTACCTACAGGCAAACGGGCAAATTGAGGAAGAGTTAAGAGGAACTTTGGTCGAGCAGTTGGAGAAAGTATTGTGGGACTACCGGACGGCGACTGCTAAAACTCCCTTCGCGCTGGCATACAGGTTTGAGGCTATGGTGCCGACTGAGATCCAAATACCCAGTCAATGAATATTTTTGTACAATGACGAAGGCAACGGGGATAGCTTGCAAATGAAAAAGAATTTCCTTGAAAAAAGAAGGGATGCGGCATACGCCCGAATGGTTGAGTACAATTGAAGTCTATTAGCTAGGGAACCTACCAATTGAAGACTATGAAAGGTGGGCTAGTGGAACGCACGTGGAATGCTCACCACTTAATGAAGTTCTATTAGTAGGCTAGTAATCTTTCCTTTCTTTTATTAATTCATTGTAGGCACTTAGCGGCTAAACTAGTACATTTAATAAAGTTCGTTTAGTTCGTCATAGTATCGCTTGGAACCATTTGGGCACATCAAAGCACTATCACCCCTCCTTGTGATGATGGCTGACTTCTCCTTTCCAGATATGAAGTTTGGGTGAGCAGTCACACTGCATGCATGGTAGGAGATTTGTCACCCCTCCCAGCGAGGATGGCTGAGTTCACCTTTTCAAGCAGTGTTTTCAACCATGGAGTTTGGGTGAGCTGCCACGCTGTATGCAAGTTAGGAGATTTGTCACCCCGCCCTACGAGGATGACTGATTTTGCATGTTCATGCAGCCTTTTAATGCACGAAGTTTAGGTGGGCAGCCACGCTGCATGCACGTGAGGAGATTTGTCACCCCTCCCTGTGAGGATGGTTGATTTCACTTATTCAGGCAGCCTTTTCAAGCATGAAGTTTGGGTGGCCAGCCACGCTGCATGCAAGTTAGGAGATTTGTAACCCCTCCCTGCGAGGATGGCTGACTTCGCCTTTTCAGGCAACCTTTTCAAGCATAGAGTTTGGGCGAGCAGCCACGTTGCATGCAAGTTAGGAGATTTGTCACCCCTCCATGCGAGGATGGCTAATTTCACCTGTTCAGGCAGCCTTTTCAGGCATGAAGTTTGGGTGGGCAGCCACGCTGCATGCAAGTTAGGAAATTTGTCACCCCTCCTTACAAGGATGACTGGCTTCGCCTTATCAGGCAGCCTTTTCAGGCTTGGAGTCGAAGGGGCGGTCGGACCAATGACAACATCCAAGCCAATCCAAGTTGTTGGTGGCACTCAGGGGCTCGTAGGCAGTCAACCTCGCCCGTTGAGGGACAGCAACTTTCGAAGGTGGTTCATTGTGGGTTGGCACTCAAGGGCTCGTAAGTATTCTGCCTTGCCCACTGAGGGATTTAGCAGAGTTCGATGGTGGTTCAGTGTGGGTCGGCACTCAGGGACTCGTAGGCAATCAGCCTCGCCCGCTAAGGGACTTAGCAAATTTCGAAAGTGGTTCGTTGTGGTTTGGTACTCAGGGGGCTCGTATGCAGTAAGCCTCACCCACTGAGGGAATTAGCATATTTCGAAGGTGGTTCGTTGTGGTTTGTCACTCAGGGGATCGTAGGTAAGCTACCTCGCCCACTAAGGGACTTAGCAGATTTCGAAGGTGATTCATTATGGGTCAACACTCAGGGGCTCGTAGGCAGTCAGCCTCGCCCCACTAAGGGACTTAGCAGATTTCGAAGGTGGTTCATTGTGGTTTGGCACTTAGGGGCTTGTAGGCAGTATGCCTCGCTCACAAAAGGACTTAGTAGATTTCAAAGTTAGATGTTTCCAGTTTGGCGGTCAGGGGCTTGTAGACAGTCAGCCTCGCCCACTGAGGAACTTAGTTGAATTTGAAACAAATAAAGGAGATCAGAGAGGTGAGCAAAAAGAGAAAAAGTTCAATTCAAAAATAAGCCCAAAAATGTGCAGTCGCTTACATTAAAAATGGAGGGGGGAAACTTCTAAACAGTTAGTCTAACTGGTTGATGGGCCAGCGGTCTCCTTCGTTGGGCCAGAGGAAACGTCAATCGGAGCAACAGCATTCGTGGACAAGCGACGCCTTTGTAGCTGGTCGAGCAGATGGCTTTTGTCTTCCCCATCTAGGTCCAAAAACGTCGATTTAGGGTCCCCAGCCAGAGTATTCTGATTACCGGCCTAGCATAAGTACTAGGTGTCTAGCGGGATTTGTTGGCCGCATTCCTGTCCAATCGCCTGGTGGTCCAGGTCTACTGCCCCTGGTCATGTGAGGGGGTAGCTGGGGGTGTGGGTTGTCATCCAAAAAAGCCCGGAGCCCGTAGTGGTGGGGACTTAAGTCGCTATACTTTCTACGCAGGACATCGTAGATCTCCTTTTGAATGTCCTCCGTACCGGCGTTCGCTAGATAAGCCTGGCCGGCCGGTGTAACCAGCCACTCTAGGGCGATCCCTTCAACGTTGACCCGGGCATGCTCCGCCACCTCCCTCCAGAAGTCAGCTGACTCCATGTAGGCAGTCAGGGTTACCTCTGCAGCTCCACCGACAGCTGCTCATTCTTCCTTTGCTCCGCCTCAAGAGTAGAAACTGCCTGACCAAGCTTCAGGTTCAGGTCATCTATATGCCTGGCGTGCTCATCACTAATAGCGTGGAGGTCCTTCAACTCGATCAGCATGACCTTTTGGCGGCGGCGGAGTGCAAGTTGGCACATGAGAGCCTGTCTAAGAATCAAAGGCAAATTCAATCTAAGTATTGGAAGGTGGAAAATCTGATTTGAGGTTCATGAAGCTACCTAGTAGGAGCAGAAGGTGACCCCGTCTAATAGCAAGTCGGAATCGACCCCTTCGACGGACTCTAAGTCCTTAGGGAAGATCACTTTCTCCAACCACTCACTCACAAGGTATTTTCCATTGTGAATGGCCTCCGGGCCAACCAAGATCCGCTTGGCAGTCGGTGCCTCAATGTGGGTCTCCCACTGTCATTTGATCCTCGACCGGTGCAGTTAAAGAGCAGTCGCAGCTGGGGTAGCCGACCCCTTCCACCTAGTATCTGCGGTACACTAAGTTGAGGCAGTCGACGATCCACCAATGACTAGTGCCGAACTGCGGACAACTGATGGTGGGTTGGAGTTGGCTGAGGTGGCCACGCCCTTGCCTTTGTCGACAACAGTCAGGCGAGCGTGGCCAGAAGCGCATAGCAGTGCGCGGCGATCAACTAACAGTTCCTCGGGAGTCTCCTCCGTTAGTTCCTCGTCATCAGAGCTAAGTTCAACGGCTTGCCTGGGAATGGTGTGGTGAACAATCACCGTCCCCTCATCATCCTGATCATCCACGTCCGACTCCTCCAAGGACGACTGCGTGTCGTTGTTCCCCGCGAAAGATAAGTAAGGGCAGTACACTATCATCACTTACTGGCAACCGGGTAGGGTTCGAGAACAAACATGTGTTGGTTGCGCCATCGAGCAAAATGCCAACCTTTTGCATAGCCTGCAGTCACAACCAGCGCCTGGCGGAGATAAGCTCACCCTCGATGATCCGCTTGACCAGATCAGCCAGGTTGTATGGGTTGGGTGGCTTCTTCTCGAGGCGATAATACGACGACTGCCAGGCAGTCAGGAAATTGAAGACAGCGTGAGGAAGAATAGGTGGTCGGAAAAACATGAACTCCTCCTTCCAACCCTTATGGGAGGATTACAGTTTGACCAGGAACCTACGACTATCCCGGCCACGAATTTGGACATAACCCGGGGCGGCCGAACCCATAGTAGTCAACCGCAATAACTGGTGGAAGAGTGGCAGGGAGGCCTTCGCCTTGAGGCAATGGCAATAGGTTAAGAAGGAGACAAGGAGGTGGTAAAAGTTGGTCCCCAACTGACCTGAAACGAGGCCATAGTATCGAAGGAGAAGGGAGAAAAAAGAAAAGACTGGCACGCAGAACCCGCAGCGGATGGACTAGAAATGGATCCCTACAACGGCACCCTTGGGGGGATCTATAACCAGTTGTTTGCTTGGGCTCCGAGTGACCATCGTCGTGCCCTGTAGGCGACAAACGTAGTTATAATCGACGACGGTGAGGGTGGAATAGCGACCGACCGGCCACTCTAGGTCCTCAAAAAAACCTGGTTCCCTATCAATTGGCGGGTCGACCAGGGCTACGGAAGTGGTTCCCAGGGTCGCTGTCGGCTGAGAGGTGGTGGATGGAGAATTGGAAGTTAAGCTTTGGTAGATGGCGAAGGAAGAGGCGATTGGAGTTTGGGTAGACGACATTGTACCAAGAAAACAAAG